AAGAGCACTATCAACTTAAGCTTCAAGAGACTCCTAGCAATGGGGGATATGACCTGAACTAGCCAGCTCCTGTGAACAAGGCAAGACTTCCAATAGAGGGATGGGACACCAACCCACCCACAAAATCTTAGACCCACAATTTGCCCTGCCTATAAGATGTACAGGGGTGAAAGATAGAAGAGAATTTGAGGGAAGGGCCAACCAATGACTGGCCCAGCTTGAGGCCCATGCCATGAGAAGGAGCCTACCCCTGCTGCTATGGATGATATTATGCTATACTTATAAAAAGGAGCTGAGCATAAATGTCATCAGAGAGGCTTTGCCCAGCAACTAATAGAAACAGATGCAGAGACCCACAGCCAAACATCAGGCAGAGCTTGAGGAATCTTGTGAAAGATGAGGAAGATTGAAAAAGACAGAGGATTCAAGGACACCATAAGAAACCTACAGAATCAACTAACCTAAGCCCATAAGGGCTCATAGAGACTGAACCACCAACCAGAAATTATGAATGAGATGGACCTAGGCGCTCTGCACATGTGTAACAATTATACAGCTGGGCCTTCGTGTGGGACTCCTAAAGGAGAAGCAGAGGCTGTCTCTGACTATACTGCTTGTCCTTGGATCCCTTTCCCCTAACTGGGCTGACTTATCTAGCTTAATAGAAGATGTGCCCAGTTCTACTGCAACCTGATCATGTCAAGGCTGGTTGATATCCATGGGAGGCCTCCTTTTTCTGAGAAGAAAGGTAAGAGAGGTTTATGGGGGACAGAAGAGGTGAGAGGGTAGAGAGGAGAGAGGGGAAACTGTAATCAGGATGTAAAGTAAATAAATAACTTAATAAAAAAAAACTAGCTGCAGAGACATATCTGATACATATCTTAGGGCTTTATTGCTGTGAAAAGACACCATTATAAGGGCAACTCTTATTTAGGAAAACATTTAACTGGGGCTGGCTTACAGTTTCAAAGGCTTAGTCCATTATCATCATGGTGGGAAGAATGACAGTGTACAGGCAGATATGGTCCTTGAAGAGCCAACAGAGTTCTACATCTTGATCTACAGGCAGCAAAAGGAGACTATCCCACTGGATGTGGCTTGAGCATATATTAGACTCCAAAGCCCAAGTATGGGCATATGGAAGTTTTTATTTCTTTAAAAACTCAGTTATGTTGTATAAATATATTTTTGCTCTAACCCTAAGTTTGGGCTTCAGTTTGTCCATAGCTGATAACTGTCTCTTGCAGGGTGTGACCTTTGACAGCTGGCAATGGCCTGTCTCATGCAACACAGAGAGGAGCATGGTCTAGTGCTCTGAAGTTATAAATATGAGAGCCCAGAAAGAGACAGTGTGACATGGAGTGGAGGTATACAGCCAGTGGCAATTTGGAGAGACCAGAGACAGATGGTGTGGTGGCTAGGGGCAAACAGACTAAGAACAGTTTCAACACAGCAGCTTGGAGGTGACTGCTTGCTGTGTTTGCTGTTGAGAGGAAATTGGTATAGCCCCAACAGAATCCATTAAGCATAAAAAGCCAAGAGAAGTAAAGGGGTCAGCACCCCCTTTCCCTACTAACCTTTTCTCTCCTACTTAGAGTTGGGAGATGGGGGGTTGGAAGGGATAAGCTTGAAGGGACCAGAAATAGATAAGAGTTTTAAAAAGAGTGGAAGAAAAAATGTTACACCTGGATATCCCATGAGCTGAAGCTTTTCATATATATATGAAAACATATATATATATATATATGAACATATATATATATGTTCCCTATGGACTCTTCTTTAGAAATAACTTTATTGTTATTTTATGTAGTCAAAACCATACCATATTGTTGTAGATACAAACATGTTTTTTGTTTTGGTCCCAGCTGTGGGATGTGGGACTGATTCAGATGGTCTGAAGCAGTAGACTATTTGTTTTGTTCAGGCACTGAAAGGAGCTCTTAGCCAACTGCAGATAGTTTAAATCAGAGGACTTTGGAGAGAGAATAAATGCCAAGGCCCAGAGAGTGCGGAGGTCAAAGAGAAAGAACAATGCTCCTCCTATTTTCCCCTTGCTGCTCCCACTAGCTGCTGTGAAACAAGAAGTTGAAGATCTCCAGAAATGAGGACTGGTCTGGCTCCAAAAAATTCTATGACCATAACCAGCAGGAAGCAGCTAAAGAGAATTTCACCCCCTCTCCCACTAACTGTTTTTCTCTCCCACCTGGTGTTGGGGTGTTGGAAGGGACTGAGATGGAATAGAGAGAAAAAGATATAAGAAATGTAAATAAAAGTTTTTAAAAAGTAAGCCAACACCATATAGACAAGCCTCATTATAACACCACAATTTGAATATTTTCCCCGAGTCATTATCACAGACAACATAAAATGAAACCAGATATGCATGGCTAGCCAACAAGCCAGGAGTCTCTTAAGATGAAAAGGCCTATGACATAGCTTTAATTTTAGTTTTTGAACATTCTTATATATTAGCAGCAATCATCTCAATCTATCCCTATAAGACCCCTGGAAACTCTACAAACCAAGTCTAACCACTGGTCTACAGAAAGGCACTTCAAAGATAGCTCTAGTGTGGTTCCTGTGCTAACTTACTTTCTATTGCTGTGATAAACACCGTGACTAAAAGCAACCTGGGGAGGAAAGGGTTTATTTCACTTTGAAGATGATAGTTCATCATGAATGAAAGTCAGAGCAGGAAACTCAAGGCGGGAACCTGGATGTAGGAACTGAAGGAGAGACCATAGGAAAAATGATGCTTACTGCTATGCTGTCCCTGCCTTGCTCAGGTAATTCTCTTATACAGGCTACAGTGGCCTTCCTACATCAAATCAGCAATCAAGAAAACACCCCATAGAATTGCCTATGAGCTAATCCAATGTAGGCAATTCTTAAATTGAAGTTTCCTCTTCCCAAATGACTCTAGCTTGAGTCACTCACTCACAGTGACAAAACAACAAACATACAAAAAAGCAGCGAAGCCCCCTTTATAGTGTTGTGAAGGAAAAAGGACCAACATGTATTCTAGTCATTGTTGATACACTGGTCTCCTCGTTAGCCTAGTTATCTTTGAACTCTCTTTATCAATGTCTCTTTTTGTTGTTGTTTGAGAAAGTGTTTCTCTATGCAGTCCTGGCTGTCCCGAAATTCACTCTGTAGACCAGGCTGGCCTTGAACTTACAGAGAATTGTCTGCCTCTGACTCCCAAGTGCTGGAATTAAAGGCATACATCACCACTGCCCAGCTCAATGTCTCTTGTAAAAGCTGGCATCAGGATTTTATAACATCATTACAGAAAGGACTACTGTCTAATTTTATCTAGACATTCATTATATTATACTTCTGTTAATTCACAAGATGTATATTATTTTTAAACAGCTAATACCCAATTACTGATTTCAAAAGCATAGATTTTGATTAAGACAAACCTTCATCCTTTGTACCAGTGATACAACTGATCTTTTAAGAAGATGCTATCTATATACTTTTGTTGTGTCACTGGTTGTATCCAATATTCTAGCCAATTACAATAATTTCAAACCCCAACTCTATCATCTACACATTGGCTAATCTGTTGTTTCTCGCATCTCAGTCATGCATTATTTTATGGACAAGGAAGCTCCCTGTATAGCAAGGTGTTAGTGATCACCCTTCCCAGCTATCAGTAATATTTTATTAGATAGTTTGTAATAACCTCATCTGAATATATTGCCACGACTTAGCTTATCTTTCCCAGAAACTGTGCCATTCCTTGATTCCATGAGAATAACATCAATGACACTCTTAATGGTTTATTTCTATATACTTAAACCATCAAACACTAAAATGATCCATTGCCAAGGACTGATACCAAGCTTGCTGTAAATTTCCAGACTCTTTCTTTCTGTTTTAGAAAACTAGAACATTCATTTATGTCCATTCTTTCAGTTTGAATTGACTCATATAGGTAAAATGTGCAATGGTAGGCCATTTAAGCCTGCTTCTGTATATACCCTTATGAGAACTATGCTACATGACTTACAAGAATCCAGGGCAACAGGAATATTAACTAACATTTTAGAATTTAGACATAATAATGAACATAATAAAAGATCAAAGATACAAACTAATCTACATCAGAACTCTGCTAAACAATGGATGGCTAAAAGCAAACAAACAAACCCTAGATTTCCCCTATCAGTTCTACATATAAGGCTTACAGGTTATTCTTCCATGTATCCTAAACTTATTTGCCTGGAGTATACAGAATCATGGAATCACCTGCCCCTGGTCACTGGTGTGAGCCACAATAACATAACCCATCTACCATAGTTCTTCTGGGAAAGGCACAGGAGCTATACATTTTCTCTTGTCCTTCTGGGGTATCTCTATGTCATTGGTATCTCTATATCATATAGTATTCTATGTCATTACTTTATCAATGGGAACATCCCTTGAAATGTAGTGACAAACATTTTATGGCCACGGGTTGAAAAAGTAAGTAGCAGTAAGCCATGTCACTCATCCCAGTTTTACCCTGTTACTTAATGTTTTGTAAAAGGACACCTAGATAGCTTTAGAGTGTTAGGCTTTAACCAATGATTCACATCAACATCTTACTCTGTGGTGTTTTAGACAATTCATGTGTACTTGGATCATAGACCCAGGCATTCTGATGCAGCGAATAGGAAGCCTCTGTGTTGCTTGTTAAAAATGTATAAGTTGTTCATTCTCATCTATGCTGTTAATTAAAAAACACTATCCTACACCAATTTACCCTAACCACCTTTCCTCTCTATTCTGAGGGATAAATCCTATTTGAATATTTTTTTTTGCTATTGCCTACAGAAACAGATGTTAGTGGTATTTCAGTTGTGCAGAAGCAAAAACTTAAGAATTGAGAAGCAAATATAGCCCCCATGTTAATCAAATCCACAGTCAGTCTTGCAAGGTAGAAGAGAAACAGTTTAGCACCGTTTTTAATAGTTAGGGTCATCATTATTATCTTATAATTTACTTACCATTTCCAAACTTCTTAAATAAAGACGATAATTTGTGATGTAAACTCTTCCCTTAATGGGACCATTGAAAGGACATATGTAAATAACTTCTTTGTCTAGTAAGATAAAAAAAAAATACCCTAAAATAATGGAAATATACACCAAGATAAACAACAAATGTACTATACTAACTTAATATAAACTACTTAGCTACATTTAACTACAATAAAAATGACTAAAAATGTTGAAAGCAACACTGGCAAAGTTTCCACAGTTTCTGTGCCAGGCCAAATTGGGGCAGTAGGGAATGAGTAGGCCCATGTCTTCTCTAAGCACTCAGTGCTGCCACCACCTGAGACAAGAGCCAGAGCACAGAAGTGAACAATAGCTTTGCTGTTGCTAGCATCTTATAATGGTAAGATACTACTTGAACTACTTCAAAGAAGGATAAAGTTTGCATAGGACAGCCTCATGACTAACTGGTAGGCTGGGTATTAAAGTTGCCAACCCCCAACCACATATGCATCATAAATTCTTGCTACTGTTGTTGTTGTTTAAAGGTCTCTTCTCTGTGTATCCCTGGCTAAGCTTCAATTCATGATCCTCCTGTCTCAGCCTCCCAATGCTGGGATTACAGCAGTGTACCACCACACCCTGCTATAATGACAGCATTAGAAATCTGTCTATAGAAAACATCTGAGCAATGATAAAAATAGACAGCCAAGGTAAAGCATGTATTTGCTGAAGTCGATGTAAGAAGAAACTAAATCACAAGATTCGATTATAATAAAACTATCTTTCTCATCTCCTTCAAGGATAACCTTGAATAGGTTAACGACTTTTGAAATGACTTTGAAATCCTTTTTCTCTACAGGTACTAAATGAAAACTATATACTGAGGTATATAGTTCAATTAGTTGCTACATAGATTCAGGTCTGTCTGCTAATACTCAGCGCTCAAACATCATATATGAAGACCATCAAAAGTAAAATTTCTTTGCTCTTATCCAGAAACTGAAAAGAACATGTATTACTGGTTTCAGTTTCAAGACTAGAATTATGACTGTGTGTCTATAGACACCAAACAGTTTTTTATGGTTCTGTGGTATATAGATAATTTGCAAAAGTACTTTGCTAACACCTCCATTTAATTAGTACAAGGATTTAGCCACTTCAAATAAAAATTTTAATCTTACTCAATGAATAAAATAGTTCGCTGAAACAATGCTGAGTATTAGCTTCAAATATACTGACATGTGAGAAGAAGGACCAACCCTAACACAAAAAGTGAATGCCAAGACCTAGCTCAGAGCTATTAGATGCTTCTGTAGTCTTAAGTCAGAACGATCTGACCCTTACAAAGAAGATACTGTCCTCTTAGCATTGGTTTATCATGAATGAAAAACAAAACACACTGTATTAAAATGTTACCACAACCGTATTTTCCATTTTCTGATAAAGGATCCTCCTATATGTTAAGATAAGAGTCTTTAAGCTATTATAATTTTGAAACATACATCATGGACCGAAAGACTTAATCTAATTCTGTTCTTATCACCTAAATTATGAAGAGTGTATACCTCTATTTAGAGACTTACAAGTGATAACCTATGTTGTTCTCCCTAAATCACTCTTTTTGGGACAGAGAAAAGGATATCACTAGCTTTGTGAGCACCAAGCTGTTGAAAGACCTCTTTGATCAGAAAAGGCATTGGGCGTTCTCTTGGTATTGAGGCTCCTAAACAAAGCTGGCTTATTTGTCCTCTCTAACTTGTACAGAGCAAGAGGAGCTCAAGCCACCCGACCTTGCTGTACTGATTCTCCAGTTCTGTACCTACATCCACAAAAGCTCCTTACCAGTAATTCCTCTTTCCCCTGGGAGGTGAGGAACATTCTCACTGAGATCTTGACTGACTCCATCTTGAGATACCTGCAAATGAAAGGGGCATCAAAAGTGATGGTGTCATCTTTGCACAGATTGTAGCAAACAGAAATACACCTTTTAAAGAAAAAAAATAGAATTTTAATATTGAAGAAAACTAGAACAGAAAATTCAAACTGGGAAAAGAGAATCTGGGCTGAGAATACAGCTCACTGGTTCTTCCCAAGCTTACCTGAGGCCATCTTTTCAATCCCTAGCAAGAGCAAATTAGAAAAATGAAAGACTGACCTGGCTGTAAGATTTACTGGATGTACTAACTCCTAGTCTGAATTTAAATAATGTTACCAATGTTTTAAATAATTTATATCTCAGTAAAATGATCAAACATCAATGAAGTCAATGTGCTCTATTGTCATAGCTTCTTTTGTATGCAATTGTTACAGAATCATATCACAGTTCCAGAGAATAAGTTTTCAGACCTATTATTTTATTAAGACCTTGCCTTACTTTTCATCTTTATTAGGAACCTTATTCTATGTAAGAGAATGAGTAGTCTATTAGAGACCTGGTTAGGTCTCTAGGAACCATTTCAGCAAATTCCCCACTGACCTTCTTTTGTAGATCTCCTCTTTTGGAGGTGTTCTTAGGCATGTGCCTCATCTAATTACTTCAGCAGATGTGACAGGCAGGCAAAGCATTAATCATTAATCTCAGGCTTGCCAGGTATGGTGGCACACACTTTTAATGCCAGCTTTTGGCAAGCTCTGGCAGACTGATCACAAGTTTTGAGGTCAGCCTGGGCTATACAGCTTGACCTAGTCTGAAAACAAAGCAACCAACTCACCCAAAATTTACATCTCAGTATTTCAAAATAAAAATAGAATGCTATAAAATTAAAAGGCTGAAATAAAGCGAAGTGATTTGTACATTATAAAAAGTTACTTATTACATAATGAAGAATACTGACAAACCATTAAGAAAAGAATCTTTCCACCCCCCTCCCCAGGCAAACAGGCAAAAAACACGAATGGTTACTTCACAAAATCAACAGGAATGGGCAATAATGTAGCTTTAAAAAGAAATAAAAGGTCAAGGTTGTCAGTAATCAGGAAATAAAAATAAAAAGTCACCCACCTTTCTGATTGAGCATTTTTATACACTATGCGGTAGTGTAACCTTTTTGGTAGATCACGGTAAAGCCTCAAAGGGCTATGAGTAAAACTTACTTTGAATTCATCCCTCCCTTTCAATTTATGTTCCAAAAACCATCTCATTCTAATGGAACAATTTACCATGGATACTTCGAATCATTTTATGTTCAAGTTGTATATGTTTGGGTTTTGTATGTCTTATCATCATAGCTTGAAAAGAATACTGTATTTGGGAAGTGTAGTAGCCTGCTTAGTAGTCCTGACCTTCCAGTAACTCCTTCAGAGAATTGTCTGAGACAGAGGATTGCTTCACACCTCAATGTGAGGTCTGACAATAAGTTATGAACAAGGCTTCAGGAAAGCACTTACAAAAGCAAAAATCACTTAACACATAGTTTATTTAAATCTCTTCCAGAACAAGGTGAGATGATAATTAAAACTCCATGTCTCCATTTCCTTATGCTATATGAACACACAATGAAATTCATGATTCAATATGACCCAAATGACTGTCTAACGCAAATATGGAGAGAGAAATGTATAGAGATACAAATAGATATAAAAATTCAACTTACCATGTTAATGGATTCATTCTCCAAGGGGTGTGAATTATACTTAGATTTTGATGCAGAAGCCATCCTGGAAACTACCAATGAAGACAAAGTCCTCTATTAACTGAACTTGCATTGCTATTTCAAAAATGTAACATTAAAGAATTAAATATTTCAAGAGAACAAACAGTACTTAACTTTGTAGGTCCAATAGAATAAAAAATAGAGAGCTAGCCAGAACACAGACAGTAAATGTCCAAGGAAGAAAGGAGTTCAATGCTGTCTTTATTTAGTTTTTATTTTAGGTTTGGTACAAAGAGACTAGAGGCATTGGATATATTTCAAAAGTTTTATCTAAACATTAAGAGACTACTACAGCAGATACACAGCTAATGATAATGACTCTTGAGGTTGATGAGTGGGAGCACATATTTCTAAACTAGCACTCAGGAGGCTGAAGTAGGAGGATCACTAAGTATAAAGACTGTGTCTCAAAAATTGCAAAAATAAAATGAAAAGGGAACAGGAGCTAAATATTAAAAGATATTTAGCTCAAAATATATCATGCTTATTTTGGGAAATTTTACTCATAGTGTTCAAGTTGCCATCCAAAAAAAAAAAGAAAGCAAACAAAAAAACTTTAATGTTTACCAATGTATGACAAGCATGAAATTTCTACACCACTTAATTTTTAAGATAATTTACAAGCATCCAAGCAGAATTATTTTCTCCATATTAGGGAGTTTAATGTGAAATAGATCTGACTGAAATCAAATTTGTATAAATTATCTACGAATAATTCACTTTTCTAGTGAAAGTGTGAATTTCTGGCAAATAAATATTCCTCAATTCAACAGTGGACAAAAGCATCATATTCAAATAAAACATAAAACTTTTTTTAAATATTTATGGTTGTTTGTGTACATAATGTGTATGTGTGGGCATAAATACTGTAGTGCATGTGTTGAAATCTGAGGACAATTCTGTGCAGTCAGTTCTCTCCTTCCACCTTTACCTAAGTTGCAGGAATTAAACTCAAGTCACCTGACTTGCAAAGCAAATGCCTTTATCTGCTGGGCCATCTCAATGGCTGAACAAAACAATGCAAATGTAAGTATTTAGACTCCTAAAGATGTTAGCAATGAGAGAAAAATAACAAATGTTTCAGTTATTTTACTAATCAACATTAAGGATAGACAGGGATGAAATCACTAGCAGGTAAGCCATATCTAATTCAAGGTGACTGTGGATAACAATGGAATCTTCTGGACTCATTCCATTAAAAGAACAGTCATGGGGCTAGAGAGATACCTCACTCAACAAAATGCTTGCCTTGAAGTCATCAGAACCCACATTAAAAAAAAAAGCCATGTATGGTATATGATTATAAATTCCACTTCCTAGCCAGCCAGCCTAGCTTAGTTTGTGAGCTCTAGACCAGTGAGACACCATGCTTCAAAACACAAGGTAGACTATCCTGGAGGAATAGCATCTCCTCATCAACATAAACATAAACACACACACACATGAACAGGCATTCCCTATAATGGAAGTTTTGGTTTCTTTAAAAACTCATTTATGTCATGTAAATATGTGTTGTTTTAATCCCCAAGTGTAGTATTTTAGTTTGTCCACACCTGTTAACTGTCTCATGTGGGTCGTGGTCTTTGCCAGCTGGTAATGGCCTGCCTCAAGTGTATAGCCTAGAGAGGGGCATAGTCTAGGCCTCTGAGGATATAAATACAAGAGCCCAGAAAAAGAAAGTGTGGCTTGTGGTAATGGTGTGTGGTTAGTGACAGTTTGGAGAGACCAGAGACAGACAGAGTGGTGGTTGGAGCAAATAGACGGAGAGAAGGTTTCAGTGCAGTGGCTTGGAGGAGACTACTTGCTGTGTCTGCTGTTGATGAAGATTAGTAGAGCCTCAAGAAAACCCTAAATAGCTGGGAGAAGCAAAGGAGTCTGGCCCCCTCTCCCATTAACCTCTCTCCTACATAGGGTTGGGAGGTTAGTAGGGAAGTAGAGGCCTAAACATCCCAAATAAAATACAGTTTAAAAATGAGCACTACATTTCCCTGACAAAGCACAGCATGAAGCATAACAACTCATTCTAGTGCATCTTTACAGTGTGGGTCACGATCCTTAAGAAAGGCCTAAAAGAAGTAAACTAAAAGTCAGAAAGAAAAACATCAAGATGAAGAGGTAGAAATGTACAATTAAGACTGTCAGGCTGCTCCCACAAGAGGTCAGCTTGACAAGGGCAAAGCTTGTATCCATTTGGCTCATTGTTGTATCCTAGCATACAAGAGCATTAACATTCTAGTGAGTGAATGACTGACTGTATGGAAAATGCACACTATCATAAGACATTATGATGGCGCTTACTTCAATACTGATTTACCAAATCCCATGACACTGGAACTAGGAACTATCATTGAAGCTTAAAGATGAACTATTAACCCAGACTGATGGCACATGCCATACTCCCGGCAACTACGGAGGCAGAGGTAGTAGGGCCATTTTAGTCCAGTGGTTTGAGACTAGGTTGGAGAACCCAAAGTAGAAAGGGGAAAAAAAAAAAAGAAGGGGAAGATAAGGGGGGAAAAGTGCCAAGAGAGAAAAAAGAGAAAAAGTAAATTGGGTAGTAGACTAATTAGAAAGGAATTAAAGTTTAACTTTTAAAAACAAACAGTGGGTAACTGCCAAAGTGAATTAAAATTGGACAAAATCTTACATTGTGCATTACAAAACTTCTCTAACCTTATGTTTATGCACTACAAAATATTGTTCTTAGACATTATAGCAGAATAAATTAGATAAATTAGAAAGGGCAGATCAGATGTACCTGCCCTGAAATTATTCTTCTGAATAAGTAAAATTATAGAAGGGGACAGGGGAGGTTCTTCAGCAACATAAAAAATTAGGACTTAGTAATAAGATACTTGAATACCTAATAGATAAGTATTTTCAAACTAAAGTTACTATTGCTAAGTCAATAAAGATATTTAAACTACAAGGCAATATAGTCAACTCACTGTCACACTGCCTGCCTTTACAGTGTTTGTTCACAAACTATGAAGGAAAAAAAAAACAAAGTCAAAGGTTGTAGTACATCCCTGTAATCTCAGCACTTGGTGGAGGCAGGAGGATTCAAGGCTAGCCTGAGCTACATCAGACTGAAAACACACACACACACACACACACACACACACACACACACACACACACACACACACACAGTCTCATCAAACCAATGGTAGTGTGTAACCCAGAATTCTCAAGGATCTGAGTTCAATCCCCAGAGGCACACCAAAAAAAATAAACCTCAAAGAATTGATTTCAAATTGTGAAACTCATCATAATTTCTGAACATTTCCATTATTTCAAAGAGAAGCCTCATGCCCATCAGCCATTGCTCTGCAGTCCCAATGCTGAAGCCCTTCCACAGCCAGATAGATTGCTTTCTATCTCTATGGATCTGCCTACTCCGGGTCCTTCATATACATAGTAGCATATAACATGGTCTTTATATCTAAAGACGTCTCTTTGGGAGTTATACCAGACACTGTTACTGTTAAAAGTTGGATCAAATACAATCCTCAGATTCAAGGGCCTCCGTGATGATAACAGTCAGTTCCACAGTAAGCCTGGCTTTAAAATATCATCAGTGAGCCTTTGTGTGAAATGTGGTGGCTGATCCCCAATCTGCAGAAACATTGGGAGCTAGATTATGGAGCTGGTGCCATTCCAGTGCAACTCTGCAAGTGAGGAACTCTCTGACCTTGGCCAGGTTATCCAGTTTCTCTGAGCTCATGCCGGTACTTTATCACTATTGGGCAAAATGAGTTAATTCAAGAGAAGAACTACTCTATATATCTGTTAATAATTATCAGCATTTTAACCATGAAAGGCTAATTATTCACTGTGGTCCACACAATTAATTCTACAAATCAGCTCTTGCCTTAGAAATACCAGGGAGAAAGCAAGATATTACATGGACAATGCTTGGCTACTGAATACTGAATGGTAATAACTAAAACTGTACTTGCCCACAATGACTGCAACAGAAAGCAATGTGGCATTGTGAAAGATGCCATGAACAGACCAAATACCCAGGGGACATTTATAGAAACAGCTACTCACTTGGTTTACAAAGCATTTTTCCCAAAGCCTCAAGCAATAAAATTGTCATCCTTTTTATTTAAGAAAAAAATCTTGCGGTAGGTGGGTAGTAGGAGAGATGGTATAGTGGTTAGGAGTACTAGCTGCTCTTGCAAAGGAGTCAGGTTCTGGTCCCAGCACCCACATGAGATAGCTTACAACCATGTGGTACTGATATTACAATGTATGCTACCATACCCGTCTTTTAAACATGGGTTTAGGGGATTGAATTCACACTTGTACAACAGACATTGAAATATCTCTATATCATTGTTTTAGATCAGCATACAAAGCAATGGGTTTCATCATGGCATCTTCACGTGTCATTATACACTTCATTCTCATCTGTTCCCTGACCCCACCCTCCTCCCTCCCTCTGCTGGTTTCCTCTCTTCCTCTAGTCAGTCCCCCTTTCTGAAATACCAACATTCTGCCCTAACTCTAGTCTAAAAGGGAATGAAAGGGTTTATTAGTGAACTTTTTTTTTTAACTCTTAGGAAGCATCAAGCCAAATGAGGACAATTCACCATTCATCTGAGTGCTAATAAATGCACAATTTACAAGAGATCCAACTATTCATACTTCTAAGGTGAAAAGTATTTTGACCATGGGGCCACTTAGAAGACAAGAAAATAAAAACAGATTTTATAATGTCCTCAACAAAACTACTAGTTGGACACAAAAGAAGTGTTCAACATTCCAGGCATTTTGAGCCCATTGCAACTATCAATTTATAATCTACATTCACTTACTTGAGAGAAGGGCTACCTCAACCCATATGAAAATAATCTATGGTAAGAAATAGTATGAGTTTGTTTCATTTTTATCCATTTTCCTTTGACCAGGGATAGCAAACTGTTGCTGTAAAGGGACAGATAGTACGTGAGCCAAAAATCTCTATTGCAACTTCTCAACTTGGCAATGGAGCAACAAAACA